TATTGTTACGTCTGTAATGTTGATATGTCAATCAAGAATTTGAAGAATTTGATTAATCGCTAAGGCGTCTGTACCAGATCGCCTTCCAGCGTTGTGTTGTGGTTCACAGCTTGATACGTGTCCCCAGTCTACTACTGGGCGTGAAACAAGGGAGAGACCAGACACTCGTAACACTGTGATAGGAAACACGTTCTTCAGCGCACAACGAGGACGTGATTCCAGCCTGAACGGCTGATGCGTTCCAGTTGTTTGATGTACATCTTGGAAATCGTGATTCAAACTACCACTTGGCAGACGTATCGAGTAAGAGCAAGGGGTATCTCTCCATGAAGTATAGACAGCCAGGTAATGAGACACGCAGGGGCATTGTTTTTAACGCAACTGGATAGATATTCAAAATCTGTCCGATGCATGCGTCTTTCTGAGAGGCAGTGGTGTCACGAAGAGTCGTCTTTGATGTCAGAACAGGACAGGCGGACCCTCTACAGCATTCCAATTATGGATAGTAGAATTTGGCAAGAATAGGGTCGTTAAGTCATTAGCCAGGGGAGTGAGCAGTGGTAAGGATAACATTTCCCCCTTGATTGTATGGTGGTCAAACTACCTGTTATTCCCATTATTGCCTGCCCACAATCCGTGTTGTTATATGTTAGTCTGGTGGAGACTTAGCCTGGAGTCTGGTCTTGTTAACTTTGGTCTGCTCCCCAAGATCCGCTACCCCGGCGCGGGTCTTGGTGATCGGACTAAAGCTAACAAGACCGGACTCCAGGCTAGTGTAGACTACCACGGTTTCTCATCCTCGTCTTTCTGAGAGGCAGTGGTGTCACGAAGAGTCGTCTTTGATGTCAGAACAGGACAGGCGGAGCTTCGTACAGCATTCCGCCTGTTCACTCTTCCGTCTCGCAGTTTCTCCGGGTTCAAAATGAAGCCCAGGTTTGCGGGTTGATGTGCGCCAGATGACCGCGTCTTTCCGCCGAACCCTGTACCTGACCCGCAGGAGAAGCGGGTCTCTGAGTGACGGGCGGGTAAATAAACCACACTCTCTTCTGGTCGAGCGGCGTAGTGTTGGTCATTAGTCAATCCCGTGGAGGCAACATCTACAATCTAGCACAAATTAAGAATAAAGAGCAAGATTTGGTTTGGATAAAGTTTGCTGATGCTCTAGAGTATTTCGGGTGTGGTTGGCAGTCAAATTTGACTCAAATTTATCTCAAATTCGATTCGATTCGTATAGAAAGCTAGTAAAGGTGTGAAAGGTGTAGGTGTGGCCTAAATCTGGTCAGACTTCAGCTTGAACCTTTTCCTTGAATCTGGTATCACTTTTCCAGGTCTATATTTAAACAATTAGCTACCAAAATGTGCGACAAACCATGCGAACATTCGGGTAACGAGTACGTCAAGTTTCAAAGGTAAACAACCAGGTATTGTGACGCCTGCCGTGTTTGTATCGTCTGCATCAGAATCTTGACCCATGAAAAATCCTAATCAGAACAGTCGCCAGACTCCTGCTAAAGCCTTTCTGTTCTTCGTTGATCAGTTACAGTTCGTTAAAACCCAACACTCTGCGGAAATCCCTGTCAAACACGAGGGAAAGTCTGCCAAATGCCCCATTAAAAGTAGCCACCTTCTTAGTGACATGTCTGGTGTTGATATCCATTAACGAGAAAATGTACGGCCAATGTCTACGAGTTTGCTGTTTACGTCTTGCGATGGACATTCCAGCAAGACCCAAAGGATTTTGTTTCCCTTTGCCAGCACCTATGGTCATGGGCTCACTGATATCTGTATCAGTATAGCTGGTATAACCGCCCTTTGGCGTAACACACCAGCTTCACAGGCACGCGGCGCGGCGGCAGTTGGCTATATTATACCGATCGACCTGTTACACCTAACCCTTGAACTTCTAACTCTAGACATTGTTTAAACCTATCTAATGATAATGCCCCTACTGTACTTGGTGACAGCGAGGTCTACTCTGCGATAGTTCTAGGAAAGAATGAATTCTTGAACACCTCAATCCTTGGTTGATAACTCTGGTACTTACAGGCATGGCTATTTCTTGTTTTCTTCTGGGCTGGTATTAGGTACTTAGTAGTTGGGACATCCACCAGTTTATTAGTCATGTTGTACATCATGCACAGTCTTGACATTTTTCTTCTGTCTTCCAGTGACACCCACTGTAGGTTTCTGTAGATTTATCTAAGGTGTAAATCCCCAAGACCAGACATTGTTGACGGAAGTCTCTTAAGATCTTGCAGAGTGGACTGTGGTGAAAGTGCGGTAGGAGAGGAAATGTGACAGTCGTCTCGGCAGTCCCGGTATTTCCTGGCGTCTGTGTTGGTTACCGAACTGTCAATCCTCCTGGGATGTCTCACGACTTTATACTAGCCTGGTTACCAAACCTATTATAGCTCCCGAGTCCTACATCCTCTCCGCAAGGCTACTTTATACACATGATACATGTATCCGGCTACCTGTCTGATCATTAACGTTAGTAGGTCATTGACCGGGGAAGGCACATGCTCTCTTGTTACAGAACTTGAGTAGGGATTCCACACAGGCGAGACCACCGAGCATCCAAAACTTGGACAGATATCCCAACAGTCTTTCAGTGAGAGATCATTGGCCCTCATGGTCTTCCAAACATCTCTCAATGATATTTCAATAATCTTTATGATTAAAAAAATCTCCAAGGTTTTCCAATGATCTTTCCATGATGTCAGTGACGAACACGTTTTGGTCACAACATTGCCCAACGATCTTCGGTGGACTTTAGGCCTTACAGAAGTCATCTGTGTAATCATCTCTTACCCTTAGTCACTTTTACAAAGTGCGTATTTAGGCCGTGTCTATACGGAATCACCCAAGGCGGTTTACATGTGGTTTACCCCGAAGCCGGTTCCAAGTGGCTCCATGTGAACGCTCCGAAATCACATTGAAAGCGCTTTGAGCCCAAACCACTTCTAGAGGTGGTTTCGAATCGGTTTCCCCGCATCGCGATTTGCGTCTGAACGCAATGTGATTTCAATGTGACTTCGGCTGGTCATGGATTACGGGGTGATATTTCTTTATTTATATGCAATACCAACTTTTACGTGGCAGCAACTTAAAGAGCAGTAATGGTCAAATAATGTGTCCGTTCTAGGGCGAGCTTCACCGCCTCTGGCGGGACCACGTCGGCATTCGGCTGAGATACGCTGGGAGGGGGGCATCAGCAAGCAGGTCGTTGACCTCTGACATTAATAACACGCCGCCTTGCGTGTTATCATCAAACAGTAATAAATGTAGCTCAAGCGCATTATGTTCGGACACGGTTTTACAGGTGTGTGTGGCACGTGGACCAGATGTGAGGAATGTGAGTTACCCGAATCGCGGTTTCGGTGATTCCGTATAGACACGGCCATAATCACAGAAACGAACTACACCAGGTGTTAAATACCAAGGATTTGGCCGTGCACCATATGCCCAGCTGGTCACAGCACTCCTGCTATCTTATTGCTGTCTATCAGAACAATTTAAAGGCCCGTGGGTTTGAGATAAGGCGATCTGAGTTTGTTGCCTTTCCCGATAGTCTAATTATTCCCAACGGTTGTGTTATCGGTCGCCCAGAGTTAATTGTACTGCATTGCTTTCAACAATTGAATTATGTGACAGCTGGGAGCATTACACTGCGTGCCAAGTCACGGATTGGAGGTGATAAGCGATCTTCTCAAGTTTACTCAAAAGAAACGCGATATTCCAGCCCATGCCTTGGAGCTACTTCTTTCAAGAATTTAAGACGTTAAAGCAAAACCATCAACGCAGGTGGTCTCATTATAAGTTTAGATGATTATCGCTATACTTCCGTACTGGAGAAGTATCATGTATTTTGTTTAGCTTTCAAGAATTCATTCCTTCCTAGAACGATCGCAGAGTGGATCGCTGTCACCAAGTGCAGCAGGGGCATTGTCATTAGATAGCTTTAAACAATGTCTAGAGTTAGATGTTCAAGGGTTAGGTGTAACAAGTCCATCGGTGTAATGTAGCCAGCTGCCACCGCGCCGCGTGCCTGCAAAGACACAGATTCAGATTAAAGCCCAATGTGCGCATTAGGAGTCTTACCCCCTAACTTTTTAACACCGTGCACGAATGTCATATGTTCGGATCACAATTTCTGGAATACGGAACCACATTTATTTTCGCGGAAATCAAAGAGAAAGGAAATAATGCTTTATAACGATGACAGATGTGCGATTGAATGGCATAAACTTACATGAACATACATGGCCATATGTTACCGCCTAGCGGTGTTCTATGACCAACGGAATTTCCTCAATTATTAATCTTGAGGGTTGTACGTCTAATTGTTCAAACGCCATCATTTACCAAGGAGAAAACGTGGATGGCTTCAGTCCAGGGAAACACGACTTCTCCAGACCTTATAGGTTTTCAGTCCTTGGAGACTAATTCTACAAGCTGTAGGTCCTCCAAGGCTGGCGGGTTTTGACAAGTATAAATGAACCACCTGTTGTTACTAAATGACACTTTCCTTCATTTATGTGCGCCTCGTATATTCATCAGTCTGCCTGGGGTTGTTGGCACGCCTTACAATGCGCTATGGCGTACAGGGTACGTGTAACTCTAAAGGTGCCCGACTTGTAGGGAGGAGGTTTGTCACAGTTACGGTCAGGACAGATGCATCAGTGACATGTCTGTGTTTGGCTGGGTGGAATGGACGCGCGCTGCTGGTTGTTTGTCTTGATGCTGAATGCAACTGGCAATAGTGAAGGGGCTCAAAGCCTTGGCAGTAGTATAGACTTGATCAGGACTCAAATTGAACTGAAGTGAAGATGATGATTTAGTCACGATGTATTTCCACAGCTTAACTCACTATATAATATATAGTAACTCACTATATAATGGCTGGCCTATGCAGATTCTGTATTTATCTTGATATGGAGATAGTCTTTTCAATTTGCTTTACGTGTTTGACATGTCAATTTCTCCCTTGTCTGCCCCAGTACCGGAATACGAGGTGTCAGCCATAGACCCCGCCCTGTGCATCACGATGGAGGGGTGGATAGTGTACGACCCGCTCACTCACACCTGCTGCCCGGACGGGATCTACGAGGGCGCCGCCAACAGGCATGTGTGCAAGGTCGGTAATCTGTTACTGTACGGATCGATCAGTCTAAATGAAACAAAATGTATTTAACGAAAGGGGTTACATGTTTTCAAATCGCAAATTTCATTTACTTTTCGAAAACATAGAGATAGTTTTCTCGTACTGTTATCAAGGAGTGGTCTTTGCAACAGGGCGCAACTTCACAACCACAATGTAAACACTACAAAAGAAGGCTTTAAGAGCTCTGATTGTAAAGATAACATACTCATGGTGTTCAGATCAGAACAGAAGAGTCAATGATATGAGAGACTGTGAAAGGATTTGTGAAATTTTACTTTCTACAACATGCGTGGTACCAGTTTTGTTGGGGTCGACGTCTTCTCCTTTAGAGGCAGTGGAAGACGAATTTACCCACTTCTTCTATAATAAGTGTGTTCTTTGATTAATAAATCCAATTCACTCCAGGCCTGCGGACAGACGACCTTCGTGATGCCGATTGACGCGAAGACGTCGTTCCGCTGCTGCGGGGAGAACAACGACATCCCGTACGACCCGGAGAACCAGATCTGCTGCTTTCATAAGGTAAGGCTGGTCATCATCGCCATTCACTGTCCTCTGTAGTCTTTCTTCATCTTTATGTAGTTTTTCTTTATCATCGTTTACCGTGTTTCTGTCTTTCTTCATTCACCATCCACCTTGTTCTGTAGTATTTTTCTGTCTTGATGCAACTTGTCTTTGTTTTGTTTTTCTTCATCGCCAAATTCACTGTGCTCTGTAGCCTTTCTTCATCTTTTTGAAGCTTTTGTCTCTTTTCATCACCCTTCTCCGTGCTCTGCAGTTTTTCTTTGTCTTGCTCTGTCTTTCTGCAATATGCCTTTGTTTTTCTTCGTCGTCATCATTCACCGTGTTCTGGAATCTTCCTTTGTCTTTCTTTGACTTTGTCTTCAGCATTCATTATTCTTCAGTCGCAAAAGATGAAACAGTTTCAATCTAAATTTTGTATTTGTTCATCTATTTACAGTCTTAGAGAAGCTCCGGGAGTCTTTGTTATCTGTTCTGAGCAATTCATGTCCTCTTGTATTTCGAGTACTGACCATGAATAGCTTATCTTGCACTATTGCCTTCATGGATCAGCTATTTCTTACAAGGAAAGAGTTAGGTGATCTTCAACGTTTGTAACCTCTTTCTTCACCTTTCCTCAGTTGTTGGACGGACCGGAAGCCAGTACCAGGTGCATCCGGTGCGGGATGAACGTGGTCTCGTTCCCAGCGACCGAGTCGTCGGAGTGGCTTTGCTGTGGGGAGGAGAACGTTCCCTATAACGGACAGACTCACCACTGCTGCTACAACGAGGTGTATGAAGGCGTCCAGGCCAACTACGAATGTCATCGGTAGGACCACAAACTTTCTGCCTTATACATGTATAATGTCCGTGTCCATAATATCACCAGGGTCCATAATATCGCCACCTTGAGAAATAGTGTGCTTTAAGATATTTTACTATACTATATATACTGCAACATACTTTTGGTATGCACTCCTGCACACCTCAAATGTACATACCTAGAGTATGTTGTAGTAAAAATATATTTAAGCACACTTTTTCTCAAGGTGGCGATATTATGGACTATGGTGATATTATGGACACAGATGTTATATGTGCTAAGTTTTTACAAATTGAAAATCATAGTATGCTATTCCAAATCATTTTCAAGCATGCACAATGTGAATATACGTCTGGAGGCATTGATTCATGATTATCTGCATATTTCCAAACATAGAAATTAGTCTAAACATGACCCAGACAGAGCTAGCAATATGACGAGATGTAAACATGACATGAACAACTTTAACAAACTTGTAGGACATGACAGAGCTCACTTGTTCATGAATACCATCTGTACAAAGACATTCTACACATTTTTCACCAGGTTTTAAAGTTTCCGTCCATATCCCATCGGTATTATAGTACTGGATTATGTTGTGATGGTTGCTGACTTTTGCTTCCAGTTTTTGTAACCTTTTGATATAGAAACTTTATTTATTTGACTCAACAAAAGTATAGCGACTTTCGTAAGGTCTTCAACTACATATAGACATACAGACAGATACGTGGGTACAACAAATTCGACCTACGTACAAGGAAATAGATGAATCAACTTAATATACTACTTGTTCTATATCATTTTCTCTAGGTGCGGGGAGACCGTGTTCAGCAAACCTCGCACGGCCCCGGCGTTCCGGTGCTGCGGCGCCCGGGCGGAGATCCCGTACGACCCGACCACGCACCACTGCTGCGAGGGGTTCGACCGGGTCAAGCAGGGACCGCAGCGGGACTACATCTGTAACCGCTGCGGCACCACCGCCTTCAGCAGGTGCGTCCGTAGTGCAGTGATTAGCGACCCTGTCTCTGGACTGTTCAGCTGAATTCAGAGCGACGTAAAAGGACTCCTTGACGTCGTCCTCAGAGTCAAGAGTTGGGGCATAGGTAGAGATCAGAGTCAAGTGGTTGTTGTCAGGGAGCGGCACATGGAGGGTCATGAGACGTTCATTAATACCAACCTAAAGTTAGCCCTCCTTTCGGCCTTCGATTCGCCAGCCTTCGATTGAGCCTTCGATTCGAATGGTAGGCACTATTTCGGATACGTCTCAGGCGCGGAAGCATTCTACTGTCCCATATATGCAAATGAGCACGCATACAGTATGTAAATAGACATTGCACATACGTATGTCAAACCAAACCACAACCTTTCAGACTCTGTATTCATTTGATTATATAATTTTCTAATCTTTAACTACCAAATGAGTTTTAATAATCTTTAAGTGGTCGATACTATCGAAATGAATCAACGCACATGGATTCATCTTCACGTCAAAGATTCAAGAATGCCGTCCAGGACCGCACCCGACATGTTTCAATTAGACGCCTTGTTGCAAAGTAACGAAATAATTTTCTGTATTCAAATGTTTTTAACAATCTTTTAGCGGTCTATACCATCAGATAAAACTGATAAAACTAACGTACATTACGAAGTTTAGACGTCATGACGTCATAGATTAAACAATACGGATTTTCGAGGATCGCAACACTAGTGGATGCATAGAGAATTAACGCCATGTTGCAAAGTAACGGAATAATTTCTAGAAACCAAATGTCTTTTAAAAATTCTCAAGAGGTCCATACCACAAAATTCGACTGATAAAACCAACGCACATTGCGTCATTTGGACGTCATGACGTCATAGATTCAACCAAACATATTTCTAGGGCCAGAATCCCTGTTTATATAATGATATTTAACTACTCGTAGCTAATTAACGAAATAATTCTTAGTTCTCAAATCAACTTCAACAATCTTTTAGAGGTCCATACCATCAAATAGAACTGATAAAACTAACGCACATTGCGTCGTTTTGACGTCATGACGTCATGGATTTAACCATACAGATTTGTAGGGCCTGCATCCTGTTTATATAATGATATTCAACTACTCGTAGCTAATTAACGAAATAACTTTTCGTTCTCAAATCAATTTTAACAATCTTTTAGAGGTCCATACCACCAAATAAAACTGATACAACTAACGCACATTGCGTCGTTCGGACGTTATGTCGTCATAGATCCAACACTCGATATTCGATATTCAGTATTCAACTCAATATTCAACTTAACTACTCGTAGCTAATTAACGAAATAATTTTAAGTTTTCAAATTAATTTTAACAGTCTTTTAAAGGTCCATACCATCAAATAAAACTGATAAAACTAACGCACATTGCGTCGTT